ATGATGATGCTAATTTTATTTAAGGCCAGGTTACAGGCATTGTCAAGGGAAACGTTAAACACAAATCCGACCAGCGGTAAAAAAACTCCTGAGGTAAGGGAATAAAAATATAGTTGATGATGGTTTTTATGGTTTGGAGGGTTCAGGAGAAAAAAATGCTGGCGGCATACATTCGACCGTCAAGAAGGGTGGGGGGAGAGGTTGCACGGTATCGGAGATTATCGGACGTCAGTTCCGTTCATTATGTTGGGGATAGTCAAAGTAGAGGCGCTGAGGAACAGCTGTCGCTGTTGGCCAACGAAATTGTCCCTGGTGAGACCGGCCATAGTGTTCAGAGACCACAAACGCTATCCCTACGGTAGAGCCGATCAGTGGATTCAGCACCCAAAATTTGTGGGAGCTTTTCTGAATGCTTAAATCGAGTAATAGTTCTCTTAAATAAAGGATTATTTTGCAGATTTTGGTAATAAAGTATTGAACGAATTCTATTTTCTTCCGCTCAGTAGCACGCATTAGGCTAAATAAAAACGAACAGTATTCCAGACCTGGTCTAACGTACTTTTGTAAAGGCGCATTCTAATGTTCTTAGTTTTGAAGTTTCGGAGGATAAACCCGGTCGTTCTGCGTGCTTTGGAGACAATCAAGGCACAGTGCTCCGAGAGATTGAGACTCTTGGAGTATGCTACGCCCAGATTCTTAATAACTCCAGCCACATTTATGGCGTGACCATCAATGCTTAGTTCAGTTTGGCGGTCGTCGCCAACCACCATGACTGAGCACTTATGCCAAGAAATAGAAAGGCGCCATGTGCGGCACCACTGGGCGAAAGCCGGCAGATCGCTTTTAAGGAGCTCAAGCACGGTGTCACGATCTGCCGGCTTATATCGATATGCAACTTTAAGATTATCGGCATACATGAAAGGCTTACCATTCTGAAATAAATAGTGGATATCATTAACGAAAAGCCAAAATAAGAGCAGGCCGAGTATACTACCCTGAATGAATCCACTCCTCACACGTGTGGGGTTGGAGATGATATTGGAAATCTTAACTCGTTGTGTACGAGTGCCCAGGTAAGAGGATATAAAATTCAAAAGTTTGCCACCTATTCCGAAAGAGGACAGTTTCAAGAAAAGAAGAAGAGCGTGGTCAACACGATCAAAAGCCTTAGTGAAATCGAAATATACAGTGTAAAGTGCAAAAGCATTGTCCCTAGATTGGAGAACATAGTCAAAGAAAGAGAGTTGACAGGTGTCACAAGAGCGAGCTTTGAGGAATCCATGCTAAGCAACACTCAGTAAGTTGTTCGCTGTTAAGTGACACATCATCTTATCCTTGATCAATGTCTCTAAGATCTTCGAAACTGCGGGGAGGGTGTTTATTGGCCGAAAGTCATCAAATGACGTAGATTTGCCGTGCTTAGGAATGGGCAAAATGTGTGACACCTTCCACAAGGTAGGATAAGTTCCACTTTCAAGAGCAAGATTAAATAGCTTGCATAAGGGGGATGGGAAAATCGTATTTTCATCGGCTTTTAAAATGCTTACTGGGACAAGCGAGCAAGTTTACTCTTAAATATGCAAATTGTGTCGGGCGTCACGATCTCACTTGGTAGCGAGTTCCATGGTCGGACAACTCGCTGGATGGATGAAAACTTCCTACGGTCTAACCGCGCGCGTTCACTCCTGACTTTGTAAGTTTGCTCACGTGTTTGTTTTGTATGGGTATACTCAAAGGGTAAGCAAGTGCACGTGAAGCCAAGCGATCCACGCCGTGCGCACGAGGCCATGCTAAGTACACGCGTGCGTGCACTATGGGGACGACAACAAATAAACGACCAGATTGCTTAAAAGTAATTACCAATGACGTGTCAGAGCAAGCATCTCGATACTTAGCTATTATCCGTATATCTAGTCGATAGATATTGGTACAGGGGTTCCGAAGACAGAAATTTAGACGAATACTTTGAGAGTGTAATGCAACCAAATTCACCATTTAGAAGAGCAACTCAGCCTTTGTAGTGGCCTCATATAGATTGTTTCTCAGATAATCCGTCTTTCTAGGCTTGCAAGTAGTAGAAACGAGGGAACCAGAACTCATAGTTCTGCGAATGTCCTGCAGAAGATTATATGGAAGGAAGATATTTGTGGGTTGAAATCAATCCTTAATTCCGGCAGCCCTTATTAGGCTGTAATAGGACGGAATCTCGAAGAAACGTACTTCCTCGGAGGTCAAGACTTTGAAAGCATATCCGAAACGCGAAGCAGGGAAAAAAGGAACGAGGCGCGCGTCAATTACTAGATAACTCTACTCTATTGGAGATGCTTTAAATTCCTTGACGAAAAGAGCCTTTTGATGGTCACCAGTTTCATTGATAAAGTGGGGTACCGAAACTTCAGCTACATTTGATTAGTCAGGCAGTCTCTAAGTCAGAAATACATTTCTGAGAACCTCTTCTTCAACATGGCCTCCGATGTTCCCCACTTATTCGGTAAACGGTTGCAGGGCGGAGAGGCATCTTCAAGTGCTCCATCTCTTTTCGCACATTAAGAAAGTGCTGCATGTGGTTCAACCAGCTGGCCAAAGTTTTCTCCTTTTATGCGACATCGTATTAGCCTGGAAAACAATCGTACTTTCGGCGGGAGACGATCCGATGACAGGCAGTTCACTAATGCTATCCACTAATACACTATCATTATTATTATTATTGACAGGCTGGTTAAGCTTAGCTTTCTATGGTTGGCTTGTCTGTCATCACCGGGTCTGTTTGGGGTTTACCCCAGATTCTTCCGTCATAGAGGAAACCTTTTTTATTCATTTTATGTGTTCCCCACTTTTAATTCATACGACCTTCTGGAAATGTGGCGGCATATTTTTTTAAAGAATGCTCTAAGATGTATGAAACGGTCAGAGATATTAAAAATGTCAAAATGATGCGACCACTCGCGGATTTCGGATCTTCGAGAGAAGCGTTGTTGAAGGTGTCAAATGAAAATTTATGTCTTTCGGCTAGCATCTCAGCGTAAACATTTGAAAATAACAACGCTCCGGGAGTGAACACTATTCTAGATGTTTGCAGGCTTCAACAGCTCCCATCACACCAAAATTCGGACGAAGAGAAATAGTCTCTAACCTTAGATATTTAAACTCAAATTCGATGTTTGTCCATAAGTTCTAAAACGGAGGACGAAGAGACGAAAAGTCGGTTGCGATGGGGAGACAATAAACGAAGGTCCCTCGGTGGGGTGGGGGCTGCGCTCCCGCCTGTCGTGACGTACGGAAATTATGGCAATTCGACGAGGGGACCAAAGGGGCATTCCCCAACCCATGTCGCCTGAAAATCCACTCTTTTTCACGTTTTCAGCTCACAAAATCGTCCTTATCAAGATGGTATCCCAGGGAGATTATAGATGATGTAAAACAAAATTAACAATGGGCATGACCAATCCAAAGCTAAAAATGAACTAAACCCGAAAGGATCCAATAGAATTAAAGAACCACTGTGAAGAGCTGACGGACGCCAGACAACACAAAGCTTGGCTAGGTCAAGCTGGTGGATTTTAGTGCCTCAGGTTGAGTCGCCGACAGTATTGCAGAGTGAGCACGGCACACCCTGTATAATATCTTTAAAGTTATCACCGGCTACCGTTAAGCGAATTTGATCGTACAGCGTGCTAACCAGCGCATCTGGTAACATATAGTGGATTATAGATCATGCGAATTTGAAGTTGCTTTAATGATTTAAACTGAAACACGTAAGAACGGATAACAACAAGAGTATAAATAAACTCAACGTATACCTGTGTGATCTGTCTGGATGCAACAATTTCTGCATACCTGAGAGATATCCGATTGTGAGTATAGCTTTGTAAGTAACTTCATTGGGACATATGTCCCAATATGTCGTGAAGTAAAGCGATGCTCATGAGGAGTGAGACAAGTGACAAAGAGACGGCGCCGGCTGTCCATGACACCAGTTTACACCAATCCCATCTTAGACGTAAGTGGAAGTGAGCTAAACTGACAAGCTATCGACACTTTTAAATACCTTTGGGTTGTTTTGGCTAGGCATCACACTATTTATGAGGACCGTCAAATATCCGATCCGTCAATTGACAACCAAGTAAATGAGAAACATTTTCACGGGAGTTGCGGTTTGCCGACACCGTAATCCATCTGCTGTTTATTCTGTCTAAATTTCTACAAAGACTTTTTGCCCAATGGTGACACCAGTGAATCCTGTGGACTGTAATGCAATTTACAACATATTATGAATGAAGTTTCTTACAATGAGGTGGACGCCATACCCTAAGACATTGCATGCCGAAAGGATCACCTGAGATACATTAACATCATATGGACTTAAATATAAGCCAGGAGTCTTGGACCACGTACACAGATAACCAAGTAAACATAGTACCTAGAGTCCAAAAACAGACGGAGTAAAATGCGATCGAACAACGAACACAGCCTTTTTAGGGGCAATTGCGGAAGACGATGCAAAAGTAAGACAAAAGGTATGTAATTGCATCTAAAGGGTTGCACAGAGAAGAAGAAAAGAGATTGGTATTCTTGGTTAGCTTTTACTACACTGAAATGTGGGCGGGAAAGTCAGAATAACAATGTGTGACGACCTACGGGGGACTGAGTATTAGTACCTCAGTGATCGGCATGCAGACGCCACACATCAAACATTAGAAGGATATAGTCTGAATGGGATACTATTATAATAACGGGTTAGATAATAAAGGGGTACGGAAGCGGGGGGGGGGGGAGAAAACGGATAAGAGTAGTTTAAATCCTAACAGTGAGATTACGAAAGGGGGAACGCAGCCGGCTGCATAAACAAGGGGAGACATTAGACAAATTGGTCATTAGCGGGACCCTGGTGGTTGTTCTGGTTGTTTGTGGGCGTTGAACGTGGCCCTGAAAAAGGAAATAAAAGTATTGAGTAGCAAAAAGGTACCGTTGACTGAGTAGGTTCGTGACACTGCCCCCCATCAGGATTGAGCGCTGTCCTCAGCGCGAGTTGTACGAAGAATGACGTTGCGGGGTGCTGGTGGAGTGTAAAGGGTGGTGAGGGATGTGGTAGGGTGGGAGGTCGATGGAACGGGGTGTTGGGAGGGTTGATACTCTGATAAACATGGTTTGAGCCGATTGAAATGCACCTGGATAATCCGGCCGAAGGGATCAGATTCTAGGCGAATGCGGCAGACGGAATTTGAGAGCGGTCGAAGGACGATATAGGGTCCAGACCACTGACGATGAAACTTACTGGCATACCCGGCGGGGGGTTGGTCGTTGTGCAACCAAACACGGTCGCCGGGTTCGTATTGAGTTCCGTGTGCCAGATGGTCGTAATAATCCTTCTGGTGGGAGTGTGCAGCCTGAAGCTTGGTTCTGGCTGTGGAGTGAATGGTTTGTAGGGAGTCAATGAGCTGCTCGAGATACCGGTGTGGTTGTGCCATTTCCGGGGTGCTGTGTGGGATAGTTACGTCAGACGGGAGGCGCAGGTCGCGTCCGAAAAGCATCATGTGGGGGCTAAATGAAGTGGAGGAGTGAATGGTGGCGCGGTAGGCCAAAAGGCATCGGGGAAGAAGATCATCCCAGGAATCTGCACGGGACTGATCAACCATGCTGCGGAGGAACGCCACGAGAGTCTTGTTCGTGCGTTCCGTCTGACCGTTCCCGGCTGGGTGGAAAGGTGAGGAGCGCGTTTTGACTATGCCGAGGAGGTGACATAGGGCACGGAATAGGTAGTTTTCGAAGGCGGTTCCTTGATCCGTGTGGATGATGTAGGGGGACCCATAGCGAGCGATCCAGTGATCGACTAGAGCCGCTGCTACAGTTAAACTTTCCGAGTTTGGGAGTGGGATGGCTTCGCACCATTTCGTGAAATAGTCGACGATAACCAAAATGAAGCGATTGCCTTTCTTAGTCTGAAATAAAGGTCCGATGATGTCTAAGCCGATGCGGTGGTTGGGGAAGCCTGCGGACATTGGTTCCAGTGGCGCCCGGGGACGGACTACAGGGTCCTTGATTTGAGCGCAAGTTTGACACGTCTGACAGACAGAAAATACGTCGCGTCGCTGATCGGGCCACCAATATCGTTGACGAACCGCGGCGAGTGTCTTGGCTTGGCCGCAATGTGCCAGTTCTTCATGGGTAGCACGGATGACTTGGGGCCTAAGAGTGCGAGGGACCACTAGACGGTTGGGAAGAGAGGGGTGATGCTGGAAGAACAAGATGTTGTCGATTAGACGGAGGAAGGGCCACATAGACCAGAGACAATGGGCCTCCCAGCTGAGGCTCTCCATTTCGCGGGCGGTGGGTTTAGGGGATCCATGTAACTGGCGGTCATAGATGAGGGATACATTGGGATCGGACGCTTGCATTTGAGCCCATTGCTCCTGGGCTGCCTGTGATATTTGGATAGCTGCCACAGGAAAGGCGTCGTTCGGTGTCCTCGTCGGGGGGCGTGGTGGACGGGAGAGAGTGTCGGCGTTATTGTGACGTTTCCCATGGCGATATTGAACTTCAAAGTCAAATTCTTCAAGTAGCTCCCGCAATCTGGCGACTTGTCCTTCTGCATCCTTAAAATTCCGGAGCCATTTGAGGGCTTGGTGGTCGGTGCGGACGATGAAGTGTTTAGCGAGCAGCAAGTGTCGGAATTTCTTGACAAAGGTGACGAGGGCTAGCATTTCCCGCCGTGTGGTACTGTAATGCCGTTGCACCTTGTCCAAACATTGACTGGCGTACGCTATTACGTGCTCATGTCCATCCACAGCGATCTGGCTGAGCACTGCGCCAATAGCAAATCCGCTGGCGTCAGTATCGAGGATGAAGGGTGGGCTTTGCACGTCACCATCTGGTAGCGCAAGGATGGGGGCGGAAGTTAGAGCGTTTTTGAGGGTTAAGAAGGCTTGTGTACATTCTGCCGTCCACACAAAAGAACGACCCTTTTCCGTTAAGCGATGTAGCGGAAGGGCGACATTCGCGAAACCGTAAATGAAACGACGGTAATAGGAAGCCAATCCCAAGAACGACCGTACATCCGTTTGTGATTGTGGTGTCGGCCAGTCGAGTACCTGCCGAATTTTCTCCGGATCAGGGGTGATGCCAGTTTCGTCTACTACGTGTCCAAGGTAGGTTACTTGTCGTTGTAGGAAATGGCACTCCTTGGGGTTAATCGTAAGTCCTGCTGTCTGTAACTCTTGGAGTACTAGGCTCAAGTTTTGGAGGAGGTGGCTGACGGACTTGCCGTGGATAATAATGTCATCCAAATAGACGAGACAGGACTGTGGTAATAGGTTTCTCAGGACGAACTGCATCAACCTTTGACACGTGGCTGTGGCATTCGCAAGACCCATGGGCAGAGTGTTAAATTGGTAGAGCCCGGTGGGGAGGATGAACGCCGTCTTGTGACGGTGCTCCGGTCGGACCTCTATCTGCCAGTAACTATGAGAGAGGTCGAGGCTGGCGAACCAAGACGCACCGACTAATGCGTCGATAGTGTCATCAATACGCGGGATCGGAAACGAGTCGCGCACGGTGACTTTGTTCAACTGGCGATAGTCGATGCATAGCCGTAGGTGTCCGTCCTTTTTCTTAACAAGCGTAACCGGGGCAGCCCATGGGGAGTTGGAGGGTTCAATTATACCCTGCGCAAGGAGGTCTGAAATTATGCTGTTAAGCTCCGTTTGGTAATGGATGGGTATTCGGCGAGCTGGTTGTCGTTGTGGTGCGGCGGTACCCGTGTTTATGGCATGCTGAACCAGTCCAGTGCGCCCGATCGGTTGTCCAGCCCAGGTGAACACGCACTGGAATGGGAGCAGGGTATCCTTTAGCCGACGGAGGTAGGTGACGGGGATTTCTTGACGGGTCAACAGATCGTCAATGGACGTCGGTTCATTTGGTGGGGTAGTGTCTAGCGTACTGACATCCACGGAGGTGTTGGAGATGGCTGATCTGGAAAGCAGAACTGCGGCCGGGTTGTTGGGGTCGATGATAAGCTGGTGGGCGCGGAGAAAGTCTAACCCGACAATGGCGTCAACTCTAATGTCCGGGGGGACTAGCATGGGGTGTACGGCAGTGCAGATGGGGAGGACAATGGATACTTGCCGTGTGCCAGTGCAACGCAGGGGTGAACCATCAGCTGTGACTAACTGAATGTCTGAAGAAGGGGAGTGTGTAATGGGAATATGGGGAGACCGCAACACAGACCGGATGGCGCCAGTGTCAATAAGTATGGTGGCGGGGGTTCCATCAAGTGTGCCAGTGACTGTCAGCGGGAGATCTGTGGGTAGTGAGGAGGAAATAGAGGGCAAGATAGTGGGAGGGGTCTAACCGGCAGGGTTGTTGTGACCGCACTTGCGAGCACGATCCTTGAACTGTTGGCAGTACCAGCAGTCGTTCGTGTTGTTGGTCGCACGAGAGAAAGACGGTCTTCGATCGGATAGTCTGAGTTGCCCCTGGGGACTGCTAGGAGCACGGCGAGGTTCTTGTTGTGGTGGGGCGGACTCGAATATCCTTGTCGTTTGTAGGGCTGTGAGAAGGTTTGCAGGGGGTCGGATGCGAAACTCCCGTTTGATGTCTTCTGAACGGAGACCGCCCACGAATCGTAAGAAGACCTGGTCAGAGACTTGGGAGTCTGGGAAGACCCTGCTACCGAGACTGAAGAGGGCGTCTAGGTAGGAGTCCGCATTTTCACCGGGCAGTTGTGTGCGGAGGCAAAATTGGTTGTGGAGGGCGATGAGGGGTTCCTGGGCACCGAAAAGGCTTTCCAGCGATGTCCATAGGTTACTGATTGTTGTAGGGGGTGAGACGCACAGATAATTGAGGCGTCTTTTGGCGGTTGGACCTAATAGACCCGTAATATGGTCCATTCGTTGGTCGGCCGGTAAATGCACCAGGTAGCGCTCGGCCTGAACTCGCCAGTCCGAGAAGCTGTCGCCGACCTCGTATATTGGGGGTCTAGGGGAATCCAGGGTCACTGGAGATGTGCGTGTGAGAAGGTTGCCTAAGGCGGCGGTTAGCTGGTCGATGCTAGAGGAATGGGCATCGGAGGTGGATCGAGTATTCGGCATGGTGGGGGATGCGGTCTAGTTGGTACGGACGTATAGAAAAATGCGGATGAAATGTAGTACCGAACGGGAATAATGAAGTCCGAAAAAAAAGGTGGGAGAAAAATCAAGAAACGCTGCCACCAAATATGTGACGACCTACGGGGGACTGAGTATTAGTACCTCAGTGATCGGCATGCAGACGCCACACATCAAACATTAGAAGGATATAGTCTGAATGGGATACTATTATAATAACGGGTTAGATAATAAAGGGGTACGGAAGCGGGGGGGGGGGGAGAAAACGGATAAGAGTAGTTTAAATCCTAACAATGAGATTACGAAAGGGGGGAACGCAGCCGGCTGCATAAACAAGGGGAGACATTAGACAAATTGGTCATTAGTGGGACCCTGGTGGTTGTTCTGGTTGTTTGTGGGCGTTGAACGTGGCCCTGAAAAAGGAAATAAAAGTATTGAGTAGCAAAAAGGTACCGTTGACTGAGTAGGTTCGTCAAATATCCGATCCGTCAATTGACAACCAAGTAAATGAGAAACATTTTCACGGGAGTTGCGGTTTGCCGACACCGTAATCCATCTGCTGTTTATTCTGTCTAAATTTCTACAAAGACTTTTTGCCCAATGGTGACACCAGTGAATCCTGTGGACTGTAATGCAATTTACAACATATTATGAATGAAGTTTCTTACAATGAGGTGGACGCCATACCCTAAGACATTGCATGCCGAAAGGATCACCTGAGATACATTAACATCATATGGACTTAAATATAAGCCAGGAGTCTTGGACCACGTACACAGATAACCAAGTAAACATAGTACCTAGAGTCCAAAAACAGACGGAGTAAAATGCGATCGAACAACGAACACAGCCTTTTTAGGGGCAATTGCGGAAGACGATGCAAAAGTAAGACAAAAGGTATGTAATTGCATCTAAAGGGTTGCACAGAGAAGAAGAAAAGAGATTGGTATTCTTGGTTAGCTTTTACTACACTGAAATGTGGGCGGGAAAGTCAGAATAACAATGAGAACTTGTAGCCCGCCTTCGACAACGAGCCTTAGCAGGCTCAATTTAATTGCGGCCTTGTCTCCTTGTAATGGAATCGGATGGAAGAACAAGTTGCCATGGCAGATAAGGTAATGGCCTACTTATTCGTTACACTGCCTAAGTCATGTACTTCGTTAAAATTTAAACATGAAAACTCCTGATAATGGAGCGCGCCATTGACAAGCTGCTTGCCAGAAAATCCCCCTACCTGTTGTTTGCGGCACGACGTTAGTCAGGCTGATACTGCTGCTTCTACTGTCACCAAAACTCCAGGATAATCCTGATAGAAGATTGGCTGTCGGCCCACTTAGGTACTACGGCCTAAGCCAATCAGATGAGTCGCAAATGTGCTATCGGGCTCTTCAGCCATTTAGCCTTGCTTAGCCGGGTGCCGTATTATCGAGACATTCGTATGTGATATTTGATCTTCATTTACTGAAGAAAACCGGGTCAGGAATGACGAAACTCTCTGGTTCGTATTAGCAAACGCTATTTGTGGGTGTCCGGAAGCAACGTATGCAAACACATCGGGTTGTAAGTCTTTTAGGGGGGAGGGGGGATGCGTCACTCACATCAATTGTTCACGCGCCTAAAAAAGAGATTATTTGATGTCCTTTATAAGTCGCTTTGCTAGTGTAACTCTTGGGTTACCGTTGTTTTTGCTTCTGTTTTGCTCAGACAGATGTGCGCTGAAGAAAAAAATCTTAGAAGTTAACTCATTTCACTATTGCATTTACACCAATTTGCCCTTCAAACTACTGTTTTCGGTGGAGCTAGCAACGCACTAGCTAGGCAGTTAAGGACATTGTGGCTTCAGGTGGACCTAGTCTGCCTTTGCTCCGTCTCAAGATAGCAATTGATGCAGCAACTTCCATAAGACCCTTAGGCGCGTAAAATCGTCATTTTGCCAGCGCACTTATGTCAGCAAAATTTTTATTTTGCTGGTAATCTGCCCGCTAATTAGTGGCGCCAGATTAATCGCAGTGTAGTGTAGCACTGGTGTGCCGCCGTAGATACTCCACAGGTTCTTCGTCCACTAGCATTTTTGTGTGAAAACCCCTACAATATGGGGACCTCATGTTGCAGATTACCTTACACTAAATTATAGGGGGTCAGGTTTAGGAGGGCTAGGGCTAGTTAACAGTAGCGAAGAGGCCAATTCCAGGTAGCCGCAAAGAAGTGCCAACTGTGATATGCATGTAGCGGCCTGGCAACTACATCCCATCAATACTGCAAAACCTGTGCAACCCACTACCCTTTCCAACTCTTTCCCTGATGATGGACTCGAGTGAAAATCCGAAACGTCACGCCAATAAAGCCCTTGTTCCAGCAATCGTGCCTCCTTAGTCGCTTTAGGGTTAGTGTGATTTCTCAAACCAGGGCACGGGAATAGGTACCCTCGTGGATTTTAACGCAACATCACCGGTAGTACGGAGTGTACATATTTCCGTGTCCGGCCGCGTCCGTATAATCCTGCTTGTCATCGCTCCTCGGTTAGCAGCTCACGACTGGGACACGGGCCTTCACCATTCCGGTTAAAACCGCTTTTCTTGCCATCCGCTCACTGGCCGTAAACTGCAGTTATGCTTCCTACTTGATGCACACAGCAGAGGAACTCAAAGGCACACTTTTCTTTGGGCCTTTTCAATAGTATTTCCCTGCGAATACTAATCTTCACACTAACTAAACGGCCAAGACATATACACGCGCAAAGCTCTGTAAGCTGCTAGCTGATATAATGACAGTTACGTTTTTAGTTCAGTCATCTGTGTGTACACGACTTATATTGTGCTAATGCATGTCAATGGACTTAAAAACTAGTAATTAGTCGACAATTGTTAACTTAGGTTTTGATCGCCCTCTCTGAACTTATTGCCTATGCTCTTTACTGGCTGACCAAGAGTCCCTTCAACAGACCAACACCCTGAACGACAGTTTATCTAAGCATTCGATATGATACCTTAGATGTGGCCTTCCGCCGCAGAAGCAAAGGAGTGGTTGAATTGCCATTAAAAATCCTCAAGCAACTTGTCCTATGCTAACCAGGAACGGGAAGAATGCGAGTCAAATCACTGATAATTCTATCGAATCTCAGATTTTCCACAGGACCGAACAACAGGATTAGTACCGACAGCCTAAGGTCCCCCTTCGTACTGATTTTTTTTGTATAGAGTGGGCTGCAGTGCCTTTCTCTAAAAGCTGTACTTGTCTTTTAAGAGAGGACATGGACTTCTTCACTCGGATTACGTCTACAGCAGCTACAGGTTAGTCAATTTCCTCATTTTACTCCTGTAGACCGGATGAACGCCGTCATATTGGGTCGCCGTACATGGGAATCTATCCCAAAGAGGTTTCGCCCGTTGAGCAATCGGATAAATATAGTCATTTCAGGCACACTGAATTCGCATGTTTCATGTTTTTCTTCTGATAAGAACTCTAGAGTGCCCGAAGGCGTTTATTTGGCAAAGGACTTCAGTAATGCCCTCGCCATTTGCGAAAACTTGCACTGCGATAACAAACTCGATGAAGTTTTCGTGATAGGGGGGACCGCTGTGTATGAGGTAAAATCTGTGTGTTTCACAACCACTTGAATGCTGAACCGTATTTTTCCCCTTAACAGTCAGTTGCACCTATTTCGAGCGCAGCTATTGTCCTCTTGGCACGCATCTTCAATGCTCGCCCTAACTGAAGTTTGCAGTGTTATTCCTTTGAGCAGTCGCCATTAAGTTGGGGAAATTCGGCTTAGAACATCTGCTTTAATAGATGACTTCGCATAGGAGTATCTCTAGGGTCTAAATACCACTTGTATGTGAATCCAAATATAGGTGGCTTACCAGTGCTAGTTGGAAACACTTTAGTTGTCGTCGGTCGCAAAGCCGGGGGTCTAGGCTTGTCCGTGTTTCTCCCAAGATGTACTTGCGGACTGTGTTGTTAGCAAAATTTTGAAGGAGGATTCCGCAACTTGTACTCCTTGTCCTCGTTTCTTCCGTCACAGCTTCATCAGCAGGCTTCATTGTGCAGGTTGGCTGCATCGCGAACGATTATTGTTCATTGCGGTTGGGCGACGTTGAGCCTCCGAGCGACATTGGGCTATTTGGAACCTCAGTCATTAAAGACAGACTGTTGGACCGGTGACGCACTCTATCAGCTTCACCGTGTCGTCCTGTGTTCTCCTTTTCCCACAACGTTGCCAGCCCGGTCCGGGTTGGGATAAATCGGCACTCCTGACGATTTGATCTGTTGGGTACAAGTGGCGTACATGCGAGCCGGGGAGCCTTCAGGGCTCGGTTAGACGGTTTTCCTCCTGACACTATATTGTTGTTTGTAGGTGAAACAACCGGAGAAGCGCGTTTGACGAATTCACACGAATACCATCGATCACATACTTTCGGGCGATGGATATTTTAGCGCATGGACCTCATCTCGTGTCAGTTGAATAATTATCTTAACAAAGACCTGATATATTTTCGGATGTGTCAGTCTCCGCTCGGCTAATCTCCCACCGATTGCGTACTTGTTTTCACCCTCACCTTGCGCATTTGTCAAAATATGTGACCCAGAGTAGCAGAAACTGTCCACTAGTTCAAGGGCCTCATATTCTATCGTGGCCGACCACTTATTTTCGACCTCGAAGAAATTTATTCTTTGGGCACTTTGATTGCCTTTGCGCTTCCGAGGAACACATCGTGCTGCATTTCTCCAGACGAGTTCGTCGACGCTTCAAAGTCATCAGTGTGGGTAGACTCCGCGATATACGGACAACGGCTGATTGTAACACTGAAGTGGAGAGAGATAACGTAGCCCTGAAAGTCGCAGATTGTGACCACATAAGTCGTTTTTCCCACCCTGACTTTGATCCATTTTTCTGCGATAGTTGCCTTGGTGGGGCCTCTTTCGATGATATCTCGTCATGCACTATGAGCAAAATCATAACAGACGGATCCAAGTACGTCGGCCATATTAACGAAACAGATGGCAGTCGACTGTTAATTAAAGTGACACCTTCCGAGTGACGAGTGTTAATTCACGCAGCCTAGAGATACACTGAATCCTCCTTGCTGTTAGGGCAGGATTGAATGCAGTTTGGAG